GCTAGAGCAATATAGGGGACGTCTATCTATAAAAGGTTCATGGGATGAAATGCAGTTTAATTTAGATAACCAATGGTGCTATGAAATCCAACCTAGTTGGAAATCTATGCTACCGTGTGAAATTCACCAAAACATACATTGCTTGATCTCGTCGCAAAAGTCTCTATTCCTCAAGAGACTGTTGAAACAGATCGGAAATTTAAGTTAAATAGAGTCTCTGTAGCTACAATCTGGTATAATTTGATCATAGTTTGTCAAGAGAACAATGGAAATACGACATAAGAAAAAAATATAAGTTTGTAGGACACCACAAAAACAGCTTTTTGTCTCGCACGAATCTTATATAGATAGATGTCTCCTTTATTGCTCTGGCAGATGGCGAAAACCTGAACTCGATAGCTATCAAGGGCCGAGAGTTTTTGAAAAAATAGTGAAGACTGTTTTATTAAAAATTCTATATTAATTCTAGTCGATTAATTTATACATCGGATTTTTTAAAATTGTAAGTATTTCTCTATGTTGAATATAGTTACCATTAAGTTGACAAGATATTTTTCGCTTGCCCTATTAAAATAGTTATCCTTTCAAATTACTATATTTCTTAAGTATTAAGGGACTGACTTTGAAAGAATAGACAGCAGCGTAAAGAGAAAAATATTTAAAAAATAGTAACACCTTCATTTCGACTATACCAAAATATTATTTCTGGTTCACTTAAGTGTATATATTCCGGTAAATTGTTTGACTCTAAAAAAAAGGAAACAATCAATCAATATAAAATCACAAAGAAAAAAAAACATGATTCATACCCATCTTGCTTCCTTGCACTGGTATTTTGCTTAGAAGTTATGACGATAATAATAAGGTTTATTGCAAGCAGCAAACGTTTATATACGCCTTGCAATATCTGACCAATTAAGGAGACAGAAAAATGGAAAGAAAACGCGTGTAAACAGACGAAAAAAGAGAATGGGGTTCGTTCTTTCCTCACAATTGCGATACTCTATAAGGAGAGAACGACGAGCGAAAAAAAAGATCAGTTTTCACTTTTGTTTTTTTTCAATTCCCTTTTCTTTTATCAACAAACAGATGAGCCACTCTAACAACATTTGTGGAAACGCTACAAGGATCAAATTTTGACACGTTTTCATGGGTTCTGAGAAAATCGCCATGTTGACGCCAAAGAAAAATGTCTTTCGAGTTTTATCTTCGTGCCTGCGCATTAAATGTATCCATTAATAACATACTCGTGTCTATTTCAGACGGCACGTGTTTCAACACTGACAATTTCGACTTTTTGTACGTTCGTGATTACTAAAAAACTCGTCTGTAAAATAGTGAAAAATATTGATTTTTTCCGGTGTTATTGCTACGATTTCTCACCACACGCGTTTTGGAATGTATATTTTATTTAATGACGGTCAAAAACGGTAAAACGAAGTGCGATGTATTAAAAAATCGATCGTCTTTCTCCCATCATCAGGCGCCTATATTGTGAGCGAAGTGCATGGTTACACACAGTTTTTTTCATTTTTTCGTATGCTTGGGTATATAACAAGAATCTTTATTAAAACCTCGCAATGTATGATGCATTAGCTTTGTTTCAATATTGCCTTCTTATTGAAAGAATGAAAGAAGCAATCAAGGCTCTCTATAGTTTTTCGAAGTGGGAAGGGCTAAATTTTTTTCGCAGACAGTATCTAACATTTTTTACAGACATTGCTGAAAAGTCAAATGGGGAAGATGGAAGGGGTGAGGCCAAAAGATTAGGAATTATTTTAAGCAGAGGTGATATAAAAATTTTTCCAATGTCAAAATTGCGCAAAATCTTTTTTGCTCGGAATTAAATTTCGTGTGAAACGTGAACTTCGGCAAACTTCACTAACTGGTACAGAATCAAACTCAATGTCCAGGGAGCGACCATTTTTCACAGATTGCTAAGAGTTATACTTTTCTTTAAAATTTCCGAAAAAAGTCTTTGATATTCAATGCAGAGGCGTTTCTCAATACTGTTGTCGGCGAAGGCGGCTACACTTATGACGGTTAGTCGTTAGTGAAACGCTTGTTAAGCTTAATTTTAAAAATCACAGTCGACCGTGATCTCGTTTCACGAAAAGACAAATGAGCTTGCCGTAAGAGAAGGCAAGGTTTACTAAAGCTTTGTTTCATATTCGATGCAAGCCCTATTGTGTCTGTGAGATTCGTCGAGCTTACAGACTGTGCGCGAGATTTGAGAGACCTAAACTGCTTAATAGATCTAGCAGAAGTCACAGATTTTCTACCAGATTTGCCAAGCCTATACTGTTTGCTAGATCTGATAGAACCACAGACTGTCTGGCAAATACAGCAGAAGCTACAGACTGACTACGAAAAATGTAGATATAGGCTGTCAGCAAGATTTGCCAGATCGGCATTGTCTGCTAGATTTGATAGAACCACAGACTGTGTGTCCGATGCAGCAGAAACCACAGACAGACTGTAAGTTCCGACAGAAGTCAAAGACTATCTACCAGACTTACTAGTCATGCATTGTCTGTTAGACATAATGAAACTAAAGACTATTTGGCAGATTCAGTGAAAACCATAGACAGTCTGCCAATTTTTCTAGGCGTGACAGAAGCCATTGACTGTTTGTCTGATTTTCCAGGTCTACGCTATCTGATATATCTGCTTATCAAGACGGTCTGCTGAATATGCCAGAAGTCGAAGATTGCTTGAAATATTTGGCAGACATTTAACCAGAAAATTTTCGCAGACGCATTAAAAAAGTGGGAGGGACTAGCCCACCCCATCCCCTCCCACATCGAAAGTCATGGAAGCAATTGTTCTTTTCTTGTCCTACAATGCTGCATTCTATGATTTGATAAATTATTGGCCAAAAAAATCTTTCCCATTTTGTTTTTTTTTGTTTATTTTTTCAAAGCATAGTTAAAGAGATAAAAATATCAATAACGATAACTGAATCTCTTAATCGAATTAACATATGATTCATTATGTCATTAGTAACGTAAACATGTGATATTTGAAAAAAGGTATTAGACAATATATACTTAGTTTATTTTGTAAAGTATTTGTATTCTGTCATTTTTCGATATTATCTTTTTTCCAAAAGTAGAAAATAATTATTTGATTTATTTTTGTTTCATGTATAATGGGGTATCGTGATATATTATTTTTATAATATAGAATTAAACAGATGAAATTGATCTTTCGAATGTCACTGACAGAATAAAAGAGAAATGAGAGTAAGGCGAATGTTTCAAGAATGATAGTTGATAATGATCTGCGGCTTTCAGCAGTCAAAAATGAGACATCCATAATGTGAGAAAATACTTCTTCAAATTGTGTCTTGAACCATATATCTCAGATCCCTCGATCAAATTAATATGCAAAATCAAAACTTCAAAGAAACAATAAACCTTTTCATACATTTTTTTGAATGTTTTATGGAAATGATTTTGTTTCATGCATTGTCACAGAAAAAGACATCTGGTTATTTCATCTTTTGACTACTGAAAACTTCAGATCGCTAACTACTACCGGTCGTGGCAGTTCGATCCTTCGAACTTTCGAGGGAGGAAGGAGATATAAAAAGCTTTTGATTAAAGTATAGTATGTGTTGAAAAAAACAATGAATTTCTAGTTGTTCGTTCTGTGATTTTTATGCATAGGCAATACAGTTCAATAAATATTATCGCCTAAAGGAAGCACATAGTAAAAACAAGAGAGACGCATACACAGATATAACGATAGAAAAATCGGTAAGAAGAAGAAAGATTCACGAATATTCCGAGCTAATCAAGATTATGAGACAGATCCATATTTTTTCACCACAATTAACATGATCTTCTTTAGCTAATTAATTTTGAACAAATTTTTTCGACTCAGGAATATCTTATAAAAAGAAAAAACCTTGATTTTACCTTTCTGATTTTTGAGGAAGAAAACTGTCTTCATATGAAAGTTAGTCACTATTGATAAAAGTTCTGCTTTACAAAAAGCAGAATTAATGAAAACTTCCTGGAATTCAGTTTCGAGTTTTAAAAATCTGCTTACGCTTATGTAATAGATACTATTTACTGTAGCGAAAAGTCTTTACCGACTAGTAACAATCCTGTTGCTATGCTGTTGTCTTGCAAAAACTAAATCGTCGTCTAATATAACGTATGATGTGCATTGAAAAGTTTTTGGAGCCGAAGGCAGTCACACTAGTAATAGCTGCTCACAAACGAAGATCTTTAGACGTAAAAACCTCCATAAAATACTGCTGAAATGACATATTAGAGTTGCTAAGTCGGTTATGATTATATAGTCATTACTTTTTTGGGAAGCAAAAAACGTTTTAATTTCATTTTATATCTTGCTCGATAAGAGTTTATTTAGTCTAGTATTTATGGAAAAGAGTTAGCAAACCCATAGTTCATGATTGTTTTCCGACCTTTTAAGTGAGAAAACTGAGAAAAATCTGCAATCATGGGAACGAGCAAATGTCACAGTACCGACATCTCCTAGTCAGATCACCACTGACTATCGTTCTCAAAATATTCGTCTCACACTCACTCTCTGTTATTCTACCGCACACATTATTAATATTGCCATTTGTTAGAGACTTTTGCTTTAACTGTTCAAGACTGCAAAGCTTCTTTTTGCTAAAATTTAAATAAGCCACATCATATCAAGTGTCTCAATAGATACTTAAAAGACGTGGACCATACCGAATATCTTATTTAGTTTTACATACATGGGAGATTTTTGTAAACGATATCTTTCTCTATATTACAAAAAGATAGGAGACCTCTTTTTTTTCCAACTTTCAATGATTGTCGTATGTGTATGAAAATAAAATATTGTTAAAATGTGTTGTCGACAAAATTTTGCCTCTTTTCTTTTGTTGCATGTGACAAAACGTTAAAAATAACGATAGAATAGCAAAATATTTACGCAGCAACAGACAGTAAAAATTTCCAACTTGAAGGGTATCTGTATTAAACTTTATTGTAATGACCGACGAAACATCCATATCTACAGATATTTCATTACCATCTCATCTGACTGATAACTTAATTATCATTTGGTTGGATGCCTATTTTCAAGGTTTCAATAACGATGCAAAAAATGCGATTGTTCAACTTCAAAATATTGTCGATTGTATCAAAATATTTACTGATGCTGATGAATGTATTGGTTTTGTTCATGATATTAAAGATAAAAAAGTATTTATGATTATGTCTAATACTTTCTATCAATACTGTGTTCTTTTTCTCCATCTTATCGAAGAAATGGTTCAAATTTATTCGATCTATATCATTGGTGATTATCAATCAAAATCTGAACAACATAAAAAACTAAAAGGTGTATTTACTGGAATTGAATATATATTTGATATGTTGAAACACGATGTTCATCAATGCAAGAGCGATCTCGCATTCACTAGTATTGATCCTATCAATTTCGATAAACTTGATTCATCGCATATGTATTCTAAATTACTCGTAGAAATTATTTTAAACATTCAATATAACGAAGAAGCTAAGAAGATATTTACCAATTACTTGCGTAAGGAATACGCTAGTTTTCGTTCAAACTTGAAAATGATTGACAAATTCGAAAAAAATTATAAAGATTATTCACCCATTCGGTGGTATGCAACAGAACCCTTCCTCTATTCATCTATCAATAGAGCTTTAAGATTATTATTATCCGTTTCAAAATATAATGTCCTCCACTGTTTTTTGAATAACTTTTCATAGGAACATTGTAGAGACCTGCGGTTTTCGTCATTCGAGAGAGGACACCGGGG